ATGGCAAAGCGTTGTTTTGCAGTACATTGATTCTATTTGAGCTCCTTCCTCGGTAGGCACACGACTAATATTGATCTGTGTTAAACCAATCTATACTGAATAAATGCCGACTATGTGTTAATGGAAAAGATGTAAGTTTCTGCTTAAGGCGCGATCTCTATAACAAGTACGGTTATATGAATTATTCGCGTCAGTCAATAAATAAACTTATTCGCCGTTATCATTCGTTTCCTGATATTAACTATCAGCAACGATACAAAAATATTTATTTAAAACTTGTAAAGCAGAAAGTAAAATAAGCAGTTATATTCATTGACACCCCAAAATGGTGTCTGTCAACGTCTGCAAACTATCACATACGGGTATTCGTTTTCTCACTTACGTCTAAATGCAAACAGATGTATAATAATTTTTTAATGAATTCAAGATTTCAGTTTCTTTATACACACACACACACACACACACACACACACACACATATATATATATATATATATGATTTTGGACTTTACAAGATTCTGTGACACTTCGCAAAATGTTTATAATGTTATATAATGATATGCGATTTTAGCTAGTAAGATGTATATATTCATTAGAAAGTTGTTGTTTTTTTAATTTTATTTTAGGTCATATACTTTAATTGCTGTTTAAAGTTTTTTTTTTTCGAATCTTACTCATACTTAATCACTGACTGTAAGAAGAAAACTATTCAGTAAAATTTGAAATCATAATTTCGAAGCAAGTTGCTTTGGCAATGAGAACGAAAACCATAACTGTATGGTTTTCATATCCAGTCTCTGTTATTGGGATATGTTTTCAATTATTTACATTATTCGGACTATTGTCCTCATCTTTGTCGCCATATCTATCACAACGTTTCGGCCGTTGTACGCTCCGGCCTTCTTCAGGTGGTTGGAATTTCGAACTGAACCCTTTATTTCGCTCACTGGGGTAGACTGTTCTCTGAAAGTTCTCCACTGCCTTAACCAGGTATTGCACTCACACTCTTTGGGTCCTGTCACTGCATCTAACCAACGCCTTTATCCACTGTGCCATGTGTCCAGAGGGAAATTAGCAGGAGATAACTGATATCCATCAAACATGGCACGTGGAACTAGAACAGTCTACCCCAGTGAGCGAAATAAAGGGTTCAGTTCGAAATTCCAACCACTTAAAGAAGGCCGGAACGTACAACGGCCGAAACGTTGTGATAGATATGGCGACAAAGATGAAGACAATAGTCCGAATAATGTAAATAATGTACATAATACCTCATCTCAGAAATATAGACAGACTATGTTTTCAATTATATCTTATTTTAGTAAAAATAAAAAATAAAATGAAAATAAATAAAAAAATAAAATATTACCAGTGAAGAATAGGATAAAATTCTATATTTTGTTCAGATCATTGGTATTTACATTTCTTTATTAAAATTTATTTTAATATTTATTTCAGATATAAGATTTAAATTCTGATTCTAAGAACTGTATGTGATAATAAAATAAGCACATCCCATCTCCCCTCTATCTTGTAATCATCCATCAAAATAAAAAAAACATTTTTCAGCGCTAAAGCTGAATTAGTAAAATAAAGATCCATGAGCTTCTACTTTGAGTTGTTGCGATATTCCACTGGATACATGCGGTTCTTTTTTTTTCTACATAAGGTATATTTCATTAAATACACACATATTCGGCGTTGATTTCTGTGTTCACACTGTTTATATCTATCTCCGATATTGAACGATCTTCCTCCATAGTGTAAATTTTAAACAATATACATGAAAAAGAAATCCCCAAATGACGCCACGCCTTTATGTAATTATAAAGAAGCTAGTTTTCCTAGTTATTATTACTGAGAAGTTAATTCGATCCTTACTTTGTAATCATGTGCCAAATGTAGGCTGAGTAAAAAGACAGACTATTAGTAAAGAAGTTCTAGGGAGATATGTACCATCTCAAAACAGTTGAATGATAAAATGGAACAAAATTGAATTTTTATCTCCAAAATATATGCTAAGAATGTCAGTCCACTGTCTCGTGCCAGAATCTATCTTACACCTTTATAAGTTTATCATTCATTCATGCAGTGGCAATTCATGCTATATCTAGTCTGGTGTTTCTGCTATTTATCTAGGGATTCTTAATAAAATCCAAAAAAGAATCTGTAATGTTATCGGTCTTCATCTGGCATCTCGACCTTTTCATTTTTCTACTGCCGTTACGTAGCTTTCTTGTGCCTTTTCTATTAATATTTTCATCGTATTTGTTTGCGTGAGCTTTCCACTTTGGTACCTCAACTTTACGAATTTAAGCACAGTGCTAGATTGACAGGTTACATCATTTTACAAATGAAATTGCTAGATGTAACCATAAGTTCTATGCCAACAGTCTTTTCTCTCGCACTTCTCGCTTTCCAATCAACTTTGATCTTTAAAAATTTAAATGCAGTTTCAGTTGTTATCTTCTTGAATCCTGTTCTTTTATTGGCCTTTCGCCTTATTTTCTCAGATATTTTTACACTAAGTAACCCTTTGTATCTTGATGGTTTATTTTACTTGGAGTAAAATGATTAAAAAAAATGTCTACAGTGAAATTCGTATATTTACGCCAGATATTTAGTCATTATCACTAGAACTTGGACAGTAAGTCTCCTCAAATCTCCAGTATGTTTCACAGTATTCCTGCAGAACACCAACAACGCTGTAACCTGAACAGACTCGATTCATCCAATCTCAATTGTAATTTTTTTTTGCTATCAGAAAAAGGAATAGCCCAACAGGCAAGATACAAATTGGAGATACCAAAATTAAACAAGTATAACAATTTAAATATCTGGAAAGTGTGTTCGACACTGGTATCCGAAAGCACATTGAAATAGCGAAAGACACCTTCCAAAAGATAAGCAAAATATTAAGAAACAGGAAAATTTCGTTAAAAAACAAAGAAAAGAGTACTGTAATGTTACGTAATATCAGTCCTCCTATATGGTAGTGAATGCTGTATAATCTCCTAACAGATGAAGAGATCTGAAACAACAGAAATATGGTTCTACAGGAGCTGAGAATAACATGGGTCAAACAGGTAAGCACTGACAAAGTTTTAAAGAAAATGGAAACAAAAAGGATTCATATACTTAACAACAGGGAGAGACAGTTGAAATTTATAGGGCACATAATGAGGAAAGAAGGGTTGGAAAATTTGATACTCACAAGACAGATTGAAAGCAAAAGGGACAGAGGAAAACAACGCATAATCTACCTAGCGAACTTGAGTAAATGGATAGCGGGTAAGGCTTACGAGAGATTACAAAATGACACAATTTATTAAGAGCTACAAATGATATGAAATTGCTGAGAGTTGTGATTGCCAACATCCTGAAGGGACATGGCACATAGAAGAAAATGTAAAAAAAAAATCAGTTAAAAATAATTAACATTAATTAAAATCAAAAAATTAAACAATATAAAAAAGAAAAAATTAGCATGTCTCTTTTTATTTATGATCTTAAGGCAGGTATTATTTGAGGAACAGATCCCCAGTGAACAGGTGCGTCATGCTTTGAGACATGCACCCAAGGGTAGGAACTAAAGCCTCGAAGATTTGCCCCCCCCTCTAAAAAACGCATAACGTAAGTTGATACTGTTCCATAGTAAAGGTATTTTTGCGGAAAAAAACGTTTTGATCTTATTTTCAATGTTACGGTTTCTGCATTCATGTGCGTTTGCAAAAACTTATAAAGGAAAAATGAGGGGGGCGGTACTATGTACAAGAAGATCTCATTATCCACAATATCATCGAATGTAGTTTCGTTTATTCGTTAGTTCAATCAGCCTGCTTTTCATTTTTGCGGTTGTTTTGCCACGGTATCCATTCGCATCCGAGCATTGGGGTCATCATCCTCTCTACCTATTCCATTTCTTTCCCCTAATAAAGTCAAATATATTTCTTACCGAAGAGTGGGAGTTGAGCCCACTCTATCATCAAATGGGCATACGGTGTATAGTAAAACTGCCCGAATTATTATTTGCGGTTTCGCATTACTTATGATCATCTTAATTTAAACTTAATAGGAGGAAATATTTTATTTAATGTTCTTAATATTTTTCAGTAGGTGGCATTTGAACACGTGATTTCGTATTACGCGTAACTGAAATTTATGACATATATAGATATTTTGAAAGGCGGCATTTAATTGCGTTTTTCTATATGATTCATATATGGATTGTGAATTTTAATCGTTTTTACTTTAATTGTTGAAAAGGAGAAAAATTAGATGCATTTTTCGTCATTTGAGATCCTTTCATTTCTGGAAAGAAAAAAAAACCGCTAACAAACAGCAAAAAGGATGTGTGCCATAACTTGTACTACTGTTCGTCAGTGGTTCATTAGGTTCAGGAGTGAAAATTTTGATCTGGAAAACCGCGAACGTTCCTGCAGGCCGACAGTCGTTGATAATTTACCAAACTGAAATGTTGATTAAAAATAATCCTGGTCATACGATATTGGATAGCACAGAAATACTGTACATATCTTATATAACCATTGTATGGCATCTGAAAATACTTGGGAGACGGAAATCGCTACGATGCTTTGGTGCTTCACGATTTAACGAAAAAAATGAATGTACCGCATTCCCATCTGGGATTCTCTAATCAAACAAAATAAAACAATCGTAGGCGATGAAAAGGGGATTGTTTACAATAGTTTGGAGCGAAACCAGTCATTCGTTGGTTGTTTAGCGGCATATTAACCTCTAAGTGTTATTTAATGTCGAAAATATTTTGTACACAATTTTATTTATTTTTTGGAGATAATGATTTTAGAGATACAAGTTTTACTAATTAACCCATAGCTGGTTGGAAGAAGAGGTGAATTCATAACTTTCCCAAGGCTATTTGAGTCTCAGTGAATATAACTAATCGAGCAGGAATTGGAACTCGGCTCTCCGATTAACACTTCCGAGCCATTATTCATTACACCATCCGCACATCCAAGCTTACAGCACCTGGTATTCTCAAGCGGCCATCCATCTAGGTACTGACCAGGCTCAACGTTGTTCAACATCGGTGATCGTATGGGAATTGGTGTTTTTACATGATGTAGCCGTAAGACGTAACCGGTCATAGAAGAAAATAAAATGAGCCACCGTTAACCACTCCAAAAGCCGGTTTGCATTGAAGAAGGTGATGTTTTATATCTATCTGTTCAGTTGAAAGAGCACTGCATATTCTGAGCTCCTCCCGCAAAAACAGACGTTGAAGTCAGACAGGTAATTGGGCCGATTAAAGGTAACAATCGTTGAAAAGCGTCCAGAATTATCTAATTGGAAGGATGCCATCTTTCATCAGGACAACGCCAGACTTCATCTCTTTTTGCAGGTTCGGCAGTAATTGATACAATTGGTTGGGGTATCCTACTACACCCACCATACTCACATGGCCTTGTACCTTCGAATTACCACTTATCTTAATCCCTAAAGAATTGCCTTAATGGGAAGAATTTAATTTCTCTGGAAGCCTGTAAAAACTACTTAAACCAGTTCACCAGATGCCAAGTTCTGAGAGGATGGAAACATGAAGCTGTTTTAAAGATGGCGAAAAGTAGTGGAACAACATGGCACATATATGATGGAATTAATCTCCGTAGAAATATGTAAATATTGTCTTCAACATTCACTTAAAAAACGCAACAAACTTTTTTCAGATCAGTTATAAGAATGGCACCAAGATACAAGAGTAGTGGAATGGTCAATTCTGATATGCTATAAAAAAAACTGTAAAGTGTTTCCTTTAATCAAATATATAAAAAAAATAATTTAAATGTTAAAATTTTTGATTTGTTAAGAAAGAAAAGATCATATTAAGAATTTGCTAAAAATTTATAACATAAGCGAATTCATGAAATTATTAAAGAAAGAGACATCCGGCCCAGCAGCGTTGTTTCGCCCCCATCAGCTAAAGTTACGGTCGTAGTGTGTAGTGCATAGTAAAAATGTAAAAAGCATTACATTTGTGGGTTGAAGACATGAACTGAAAATGTCCAGTTAACGACAATGTTTTGCACCAGAAAGCGTTAAAATCTTAAAAGAAAACTTTAAAAGTTTTGCGTAACATGATCAACAGGAAGTTGTCATTTAAAAATGTTGGGGTGGGAAAGGAATTTTGAAGTTATGGGACGGAGAGAAATTTATACTAGATGTGACAGGCATCAGTAACAAATTTCATGAGTCTGCAGTTTTGTTTAACACTGTTCACTTTACCTGCATTTTTGTTGTAATATGTCCATTTAGATGATTTGTTTCGATTTAGTGAAGAGAAACAACCAGTTTGCAAAACCATTAGTAATATTAAGACTTACAATTTACATGAGCACACTCATATCTATATTTATATAAAAGGTATCCACTTAAATATCTATTTATGTACAAATTTTACACCCGTTTAGTTGTAAATGAGTCTGTTTGCAAACTAAAATATATACTTTGACTTATTCTCTTTATTTGAAGTATTGTTCTAATCAATCATTGCTAGAAATATTATTATGGAAAAATAAATGGAGCCCCCGAAGATGGCCAGAGTAGACGTGATAAAGACATTGTGTCTATAATGACATCTATAACAATATTTTAATTGCTTGCTTAGATGGGCTCACAGGCTTCAGTTTTCTTGCAGTACCTACTAAGTCAACATTTAATTACTGAGCAGGTTCATTATTACTTAATTTTTATGATTTAGGTATAGCCGATGTTTTCAGTGTGTCTAGACAAGCGTTTCTCAACTGGTGTGCCCAGGCACACTAATGTACTTGGAAAGCCAGCCACGTGCGCCCCAAGTTAACAGAAAAATAATTTATAAATTATTTTTATATTTAAGAAAATCCTTATTTTTGAAAATCTCGGCTTCCATGTCTAAGTCAAGTCCTTGTCATTTGATATTTTAAAATGGGTGCTAAATTTCTTAATCTTTAAGGAGTGGATAATCCTTTTCTTTTTGCCTTCCTCAAAGGATTTAAATCATTATCGTCCTCTGTAAAAAAAAAAAAAAAAATACAGATCCTTCACAAATCCCTTTAAATGAAAACTGTATCGCTAGTCTTCTTTAGGAAAGCCAAACCAAAATTTCAAATTTCATCACTAATTTTTCCTTATTAGCATTTAAAATGCTGTACAGAGTTTTAGTATTTAATTAAGAACGGATTTTATTTTTATTTTCTGGATAGTTGTACTTTTTAGAATATTTCATGTCCAAAAACTAAAGCATTCTATAATTTACCAAGAGTGAAAGAAGAAAAAAAAATCACGAATATGAAATCAAAGTTTAGATTTTGTACACGCCTGATGAAAAATTAACTGAATGCATTATTTTATTTTATGATTTTAAGCAGTACACAGCAAACGCGTGCTAGAATAAATTTCATGTTTAATAGAATGAATTGTATTCCATTCTATTAGACAAAATAACCTGTCAGTTATGTTAGATATATGTTATTTGACTTTTTATCTCTCCAATCTTTTGACTGCCATCTTTTTTTCTTTTTTATTTTATCGCCTTGTAGTTTAAGTTCTGGGGAACAAATTGTGATAAACAAATGACAAACCTGTTTCTTATCGCTAAAGAAAATCTTTCCTTTCATTCACCCTTAATGAAAAAACCACACCTATTAGTGAATAAAATGAAAGCTACAAGTAAATTATTTTTTGAACGAGTTGCGTCAATCATTTACTGTCCTACACTGGGCACGAGCTATAACAAAAATGGGTGACTAAGACCACAAGTAACTGTAAGATCTTATCTTTGAATCTTTTTTTTGTCATTAATTATGATTTTAGCATTAATTTTAACTTTCAAATTCAGCTTTTCTTTAATATTTTATCGTTAGCTAACATCCAAGCTGTCATATAAAATAAACTTTTGTTTGTTAATGGTATTGACTCAGCGCAAAGTCACCAGAAACAAAACTATACTATACTCTGATTAAAAGAGCCGATCAGCAGACACGAGCTAAACGCAGACAGCAATGAATGCACTGGGTTCTAATCTCTTTAATTAGAGTGGAATTGAGGATGGATACTATTATTATTTTTTACATGCCATGTTGCTTTATATGTGGGTGATCATGCTCTCAACAACTTCTGTCTCTTGTTGTTCTAAGCAACTTTTGGCTCTTTACGGCCCGTCTTTGTCTCCACTGTGCCATCAATTTAGCCAAACTCATAAAGATAGGTTACTCGCTGTTTCCTTCTATCTCATCAATCTCATGCGAGTGTTAAATTTTACACTTCACCCTTTCTTCGCAATGTGTCCCAGAAATATCGTTTCTTTCTGATTTTTATAAGTGCCTTTCTAACTCACATTTTCTTAAATGTTCTGTTTGTGATATTCTCTGCATCTTCGAGTTTATTCTTCATCTGTAAAGAAATTATCCAGCATCCACTGCCGTACAAGAGGATAGATACGATATAGCAGTTCAGCACTCTTTTCTTTATTTCTAGCTATAATTTCCTACGTTTTCATACTTTGGATACTAGTATGAAGAATATAATAATCTCCCAAGAAAACGATTCGTGATGTTTTTGGAAACTACTATATTTGCTAGTAGATAAGACGCAATAATTTCCTATATGAAAAGTATTTAAATATTATACTGTATTAGATGTGCTGACATTATAGATAGGAGGCTGATCGATGAAGACTCGATTCGGAAAACCAGGGAATCGGGATAAATTCTGGTAAAGGCTTTTCCAAAATGCACTTGTTAAATTACGCGTCCTATAATTTGCATCGGAATGTCTGAGATGAGAAGGGATCCTTATTATACATGGGTAGCAGAATAAGTCTATCATTGTGAATTGATTCGAAATTCTGTGAAGATAAGATTACCGATTATGATAGGCACATGAAAAAGAATGAATGGTGCAAAAGGTCGAAATTTTGCGATTCTAACAACAAAAATAAGGACAACAGTTGTAATAAATAAGTATATGATGATGCGTCTTATAGGCTGACATACAGTAGAATAAATTTAATTATGTGGTATTCTACATTAGGTGAGCTATCGTTTATCGGTAAATATATATATATATATATATATATATATATATATATATATATATAAGTATAGGATTGGTGTATACGGAATAAATTCCAATAAGCAACAAATACTATTCTTAAAAGAATGCTCAATACAGAGTAGAGAAAATATAATTATTTATTAAAAAATGATAACATAAAAATTTTATAAGATCACTACAAAAATAGCCAATATATATATATATATATATATATATATATATATATATATATATATATATACTTACTTTCCAGATTTGTTGTTGTTAAATGTTGATAAGTAGAGTAATACTTTTTTTTTGCTAGATTGTATATTTATGACGTCAAATATGTGATCAGTGATTACCTAATTATGGCTTTAATAATTATGATCTAATATTGCTGAAGTGAACAAATATAGAGTCACCTCGAACAAATATATGTTATTTCTTTTATTTTGGGGAGTGGATGTTCTTTTTGTACTTACTTTTTCAAATAAGTTTTAAAACTGCTCGCATACAAAATTTATATATATATATATATATATATATATATATATATATATATATATATTTATCATTATCATTGCGACTCGGAAATTTCTGTTTCGGAACTGAAAGTTAAAATTGTTTCATTTTCAAGCGATTTTGAATAACTTCAGAAAAAAAGATTTACTTTTGCCAGCGAATTGGTATCATATTGAAGAGTTTAAGTGGGAGTAGGAATGAAATTTTAGAATTTTATTGTCTCATCTGTCGAATCTAAATACAGATCTAAGCTAAAATGGAAAAATGAAAAATTTAGGTTAGAGGTTAGATGTGGATATGTAATTCATGTTCGTCTAGAATTGTCTGTCGTGTATTAGACATGTCATCCTCACCTTCTTTTTAAGAACATATACATAAGATATTTCATATATTTACTTATAATGATCTAAAATGCAATACTTATATTTAATGGTACATTAGACATGGCAATGTTAAAATTAAAAATTAAGGAATGAATTTCACATTTTATGTACCATCAAATAATAGATATATAATTTTAAAGTATAGATTT